CTTCCCACAGGGAACCGGTGCTGCCAGCAGCCCCGAGCATCCCTCAGGGCAACTCCCAGGGTGTGCCGGAGCGGGGGGACCAGAAGAGAGGGAGACCGGAGGCTGGAGGAGAGGCTGTGCCCTGCCGAAGGGGGAATAAACTGCAGCGATGGCAAGGCCCGGGGACGGTGCCGGTCCCCGAGGGTCTCCTGGGGATGCAAAGAGCTCCTCCCTCCCCTTGGCAGAGTCACTGCAGCACCTAACCTGAAGCAGCAGGTTCAGACATCGAGATGGAGAGGCAAGAGTCGAGGGTGACCTGGGAGAACACCCCTCCCAGCTGCAGGCGAGGGCCAGGAAGAGCAGGACACTGGGAACTTGGTGTAAGACCAACAAATCAATGCTAGAAAGGGAACAAGGAAGTTTAGAGGAGTGAAAGAGATTATTTTGAGAGAGTACGCATGAATCGACCCAAGCCTGATGCAGACTTAGCCCCGAATTGAGTCGGGCATCACCCAGCAGAGCTGAAGGCAGCGGTGTCTTCCTCGGCAGTGGTTAAGGAGAGATGGGGCAACGCTTGGGAAGGTCACCCGGAGCTGAGTGACCGCCTGGAACAAGCGAACCCCCAGGAAGGTGAGCAATCGCTGCACCCAAGGCCATGCCATGGGGAACAGAGGACACCAGTTTTCCATCACCACCTCAGAAGTGAGTAGAGCCCAACTGCAAATGTGGGTGGAGATGGTGCTTCTTGGTGGAGCCCGACCACAAGTGCACTTGCTCCACCAAGAAGCACCTCTCCACCCTTGGTGGGCCCAGACCCCAGGGTCACAATTCCCCTTCCACAAGCGGTCCCCAACCTTCACACCTCGCCAGCGGAGGAGGAGGAGGCTAAGGCCAAGTGTGCACGTGCAACGCCTTGCATCACTACCTTGTCGCCTAGGGGAGGTGAACAAGTCACAGGAGGATCCGACCAGATCTGACGTTACACGCCGGGATCCAACCTGGGCATCCCCTTCTCCATCTGTACATTCCCATCTTGGCTCCTCGCAGAGCAGGCGAGCTCCTGGAGGAGCCCTGTGCGGCTGGGCAGAGGGAGGACATCTCCTCAGCAGCTCTGATCTTTGTTTCGCCCCACCAGTTCTTGGTGGAAAAAGAGGCTGGAGATGTCCTACCAGCCCCACGTGCCACCCAGTCTCCCCGGTAAAACCAAAGGGATGTTTGCCATGCAGACAGGACACCGGGCCTGTCTCGGAGGCACGTTTGAGACCAAGATTGATTTATTTTATTGTCTCCGCTGCTCCGGCACAGAGGCATTCAGTGTGCCTGCACGTTCCTGTCTCACCCCGGCAGCTCAACCACTCGAAGGCAAGGGGCACACACGAGGACTGTGAAACACCCACCTTTTGAAGAGCACCTGACGCCTGCATGGCACTTTTGAGGACGCTCTT